ACAGCTCTTTGGTCTTCACCATAGTGGAGTTTGAGTGTGACTGTTTGAGGTTGTGGACAGGTGTCTTTTATACTGATAACAAGGTTTTTAAACACAGGTGCCATTGATACAGGTAAAGAAGTGCAGGACAGAGGGAGCCTCTTAAAGAAAAGAAGGTACAGGTCTGTGAGAGCCAGAAATCTTGCTTGTTTGTAGGTGACCAAATACTTATTTTCCACATCATTTGCAAAATAATTCTTTCCAAATCAGCCAATGTGATTGTCTGGATTTTTTTTTCTCGTTTTGTCTCTCATAGTTGAAGGGTCTACCTATGTATGCCAATTACAGGCCTCTCTCATCTTTTTTAAGTGGGAGAAACTTGCACAATTGGTGGCTGACTAAATACGTTTTTTGCCCCACATATATATATAGTATACAATATTACACACATAAATAAGTAATATTTCTTCTTCACTGATGTGCTCTGATAGGCTGCACTGATGAGGTTGCACTAATGGACACTGATAAGGTAAACCAAGTACTGACAGCCTTGCCGGGTATCGGCTGTCTTTTCCTCACAGACACAGCATGTTTGGAAAACACTGCCAATAACCAGCAATTCTGTTTAACATGTCATCAGCTAAGATTGGATGGATTACCTGGTAAAGGATGCCACTGTGATTGGCCCTTTACCGCGATCTGTGACCAGCTGTGTCCAAAGGATACAGCAGCTGCAGAGCGCACCCAATGTGTGCCCCATCTATGGACACCCTCCTAGAACAAGAGAACTACCTGTAGTTGTCTATAGCGTGGTAATAAAGTGTTTTAAAAAGCAAAAAAAAAAAAATATTTCAGTATGCATTCCTAAACCCAAAAAAGTGCCTTCTATTGCTCCCAGCCTCCCCCAAAATTCCCACATTCCTTGTTTGCTGTTGTGATCTGCCTTTTCTGTTAGAGGATGGCTACGTTAATTCTCCATTCTCCACTGTATGCAAGAACTGTATGTATGTTGTTCACCCCCGAGATAGACTTTTGTGTTGTGCATAGAGCGGTGCACATGGCCGAAACTAACGTACCTTGTTCATTCCAAAAAATGGGAAGGGAGAGGAGAAAAGGAGAGGGTTAGGTGTTCAAGGAGGACTTTACAAAGAGGTAGAGAAACAAAACACAATGAAAAAAATTGAAAAATAAATTACAGGGCCTTTAAAGAAGAAGTTTAGTCCCCCTAGATCATGGCTCCACTTCCCTCCACCAGCACTGCCATTTTTGCCATAGTCTGATGCTTGCACAGATGCGCTGAAGGACTCTGCCTGGCCTTCAGTACCTGACAAAGCCCTTTGTATCATCTGCGCACATTCCGAGCTGTTCTCACGTATGTGCAGGAAACAAAGGTCCAGGACCTCCTTCATTGTGCCAGTCTCACATGATTGTGCATGGAAACCAGCATATTCACAGACGTTCCAATGGTCTCTGCTAGGTCTTGAAGCTCAGTAGAATCCTTCAGCACATTAGTGCAAGCATGTGCACTGCCATTCTTGCATGGGCAAAAAAGAAGGAAGTGCTGCCCAGCAGCAAAAATTAAAAAAAAAAATCCAATTGTAGTAGACGGAGGAAGTGGGAGCCAGGTACACGCACATTGTCTTTCAGGGAGAAGGTCCACTTTAAGTAGTCTATGTGTATGGACTATCTTTTTTTTAGAAAATAAAGATATCATTTAGTGTCCGTATAAATGATTCATTGACAACTAAAGAGTGAGCAATTGCTGAACCCTTTGTCAATAATGCATACCAGCTTTACTTTTTCTTTTTAAAAAAAAAAAAAAAAAAAAAAAAAAAAAGGACCTTGTCAAATCTGAATTACCCTATAAAACATTCTAATACATTATTTGCCAAATGTGGCTATTCTTAGAGACATTAAAATAACAATGGTTCCCATATGGAAGAGAACTGCTAAATTTCTTTATATACAGTGCATTCGAAAGTAATCAGACCCCTTCACTGTTTTCAATCAGTACCCCATAATAAAAGCGAAAACAGAATTTTAGAGAGGTCTGTAAATTTGTTAAAAATAAAAAAAACTGAAATATCACATTGGTATAAGTATTCACAACACTTGAAATTTAGCTCAGGTGCCTCCCAATTCCTTTGATCGTTGCGGAGATGTTTTCTACACTGGATTGGAGTCCTCCTGTGGTAAATTCAACTGACTGGACATGATTTGAAAAAATAAAGTGAAGGGGGTCTGAATACTTTCTGAATGCACTGTATATATAGGTAAAGTTCAATTTATTGGTATCTTCATTGTGTAGACCAGCCTTTCTCAACCAGGGTGCCTTGAGGTTTCTTTAGGGATGCCTTGACAAAATGTCCAAAAATTGCCCAAAATTTGTATACAAGCCAGTGGGTGGAACAAGCCTGCCTTTTAGTTACACAAAGCCACAGATTTTCATTGTGCACCATTATGACCTTCTAGCCGTCGGCCCTCCTGACAGCCAACAACATCATCAGTTGCTAAGGAGGTT